TGATTTTTGCTATATACTGCAAGGGTACTTAACTTTTCACTAATGTTCAGGATGGCTGCTACTGTGATTCTTGTAAATGATTGGGTCAGGTGCCATTGTTTCTTCTCTTCACTTCTCTTTTCTTCAATTCACTGAGTAGGAACACCAGTGAATTGTATTATTGTTAAGACCTTACACCCTAAATTATCTGGAAACTATATTGAGAACCAGTGGGAAACAGGAAAAGGTTATGTATTAGGCCTTCCTGTGCTTAGACTGTGCTAGATCCTATTCCTAGTTCTTTCACAAAGAAAGGTTCACAGGCAGGAGAATGTGTGGATCTATTGCTTAAAGGAATGGGTTAATATTTAACTATAAAAATGGCTTCATGATAAATGAACTCCTAGGATTTCAAGAAAGCACTGCTTCATATTGAGTATCTGTGTTCCTCCCAAATTTATATGCTGAAATCCTAATCCTGAGAGTAATGATATGAGGAGTTGGGTCCCTTGGGAGGTAATCAAATCCTGAGGGTAGAGCCTTCATAAACATGACTAGTGTCCTTACAGAAGAGACCTCAGAGAGAGCTCTTGCCCCTTCTGCCACATGAGGACACAATGAAAAGACAGCCTAGGATGAGGGTTTTCACCAGATACCTTGATCTGTTGGCACCTTGATCTTGGACTTTCCAGCCTCCAGAATTTTGAGAAATAAATGTCTGTAGTTCACAAGCCACTCAGTTTGTATTTTTATTACAGCAGCTCAAATAAGCTAAGACATGCAACAAAGGAAGCAGCAATAGAGAAAGAAGGCCCAGAATGAAACTCTAAGGAAGATATTATTAAGTACTATTAGTCACTCAATCATGTTTGAGTCTTGCTGACCCTATGTTCAGTAGCCCACAAGGCTCCTCCATCCATGGGATTTTCCAGGAAAGAATACTGGAGTGGGTTGCCACTTCCTCCTCCAGGAAGGGTTGGCGATCTTCCCAACCCAAGGATTGAACCCTGGTCTCACGCACTGCAGGCAGACTCTCTACCGTCTAAGCCACATACATTTAAGGAATGGGCAGGGGAGACGCACACATGATATCGAGATATGTTGGAGGAAGACAAGGAGTCATGATCCAGTGAAAGGCAAAGGAAGAGTTTTAATAAGGTTTGCCTAATTTAAGAAAAAGCTTATTATTAATATATGTGGCAACTAAATGTGATCTGTTATCTTGACTGGAGCATGTTTAGTGCAATAATGACAGTATAAATCAGATTTCACTTTTTTGTTCTGTTTTAAGAAGAAAAACTACAAAAGTAAAGGCAGTTAGTGTTTTAACCCTGCAAAAATATTTGCAAGTTTAAGTTAAGAAGACATATAATTAGCTAAACATATGGGCTATGGGTAGTTTCTTGTGGCAGCATTATTGTTGTTTTCTGATAGAGTAAGACTTAAGTTCTGTTAAGACATGCTAATACAAAAGAAACAGTGATAAACATACTGCATACTCAGAAGAGGAAGCATAATTAATGGGGTGATTTTCTGAGGAGAAACTAAACAAGTAAGAATCTGATATTTATTTCACACATGTAACAAAATTATAACATGAGTTACTAATCTGTTATTACCTCTCCCTCTCTCATCTCATGGGTGTCTCAGTGGCTATTTTCATCTTTTCCAGCCCAAAGCAGAAATAAACATTTGAAAAACCATTGACCAAAAGGCTTTGAATGCATGCTTACACTGCAAGATTTTTTGCTTTGCATTTTTATTTGCACAACTGTTAGACAGCCTGAGTCTGGAGAAAAGGAAAGGAAACCAGGACTTGAGAGAATGTTTTATACCAAGACTTTGGGCCACTGAAGTGATTAAAAGAAAGGAAGAAAAAAAAATAACTTTATTTTTTTCCTTCTCGAATTCCTGGTAAAGAAATACAAAGAATTCAATACTTTTGAGCTGAGATCAAACATGAAACTTGCTAAGCTACCATCTGTGGACCACCACCACCACCCAACAGCCTTGGACACTTGAAATCTCTTGACTAACAGGGTCAGGGGAAATGGTAGGGCAGCACAATTAAGGAAAGACACTGCTCTTGACCAAGGCGAAACCATACAAAATCAGTTCGGTTATGAGCTACGGCAATGGTGAGACACACCATTACCCACAAGGAGACTCAAGCAAATGAGATCTAACATAAGAGCGGAGACTGCTGGATCACAAAAAGGCAAAGAAAACCCTAGGGTACCTGTGGAATGGGGACATCAACATTTTTGAAAAAGCTTAATATTTCAGATACGGAACTGGAAGAATTTCTGCAGCATTGAAGGTCTTATTACGAGTCAAGACCCTGAAGCTGTGGGAACACTAACAGTAATCCATAGCATGTTAGTGCAGGAAAGGAAAGGGAAGCATCAGCATAATGAAGTACTATGATACCCTACCTCTACTTGACCCAAATAAGTCCTAAATAGACAACCTCAGTCATCATGTCCCATTCTTTTTGTTGGTGCCTTAGATGAGGTCAGAGAGATGTGAAGGAATTGAGGTGATGCAGAGTGTTGGGCATCTGAGAATGCTTCTTAATTTGTAAGAAGGGAAAAATGATACTTGTCTTTCTGCTCTCTTTAGCCATATCTGCAGGTGATACCTAAAACCACAGCCACTGTTTTGTGACTAGAAGAATATGCTGAAGTTGACAAAGAAAAAGGATAAATGGGGCCATATCTTCGATGAATCACTGAGCCACTGAATCAATCAACCCTCCAGCCCCTCCTTCTCCAGATAGCTAGCTATGTGAGATAAGACAGTCTCATTCCTTAAGCCACTGGGCTTTTCATTTTCTCATAGAGGAAAACATCCTAGAAAAGTCATTTTTCCAACATTTTTTTTTCCACCATGGCTTCAAAACACTGTGACTAAAAACACTATTATGTAAGGAGATTAAAAAATCATCTCTGGCTATGATTTAAGGACTCAATGTTTTTAGAGAACTTTATTGTCAATTTATTAGCAACTCCTCCAAACAGAGGTATGATAAGGTCAATGTTCTCATAATTTTAACGACTAAGAAGCCAAGACGAAGAGAGATAAATGGTTGATTTCAAGTGGCCCAGCACATCTGTGGAGTAATTTTCAACTCCCAGGCAAGAACTCAGAACCAAGCTGCTTGTCTCTTTTTCTTGCTCTGGTTCACCTGAGTGTTAATGGCCATGCAGCAGACAATGTGTCTCCTCTCACAATTAGTCATTTGGGCTAAAATCAAAAAGGCGCCAAAATCACTTTTATAATTCAGTGTTTCTCTAGGCTGAACACTCTGAGGAATCAGCCAGTGCCTTAGTCTGGGTGAGCTTAATGCCCCTGTTTAACATTTATATGATTCTGATTACTGGAACACCCCCACCCCAACCCCGCCCCTGCCTCGCACTTCTGCTGACATTTTGACTTGAGTTTAAGTGGGTCTGTGAGGGATTATTTCAGCTCTGATGAAAAGACAAAGAATTCTGCTAACTGTAGAGGTATTTTAAATATACTTTTAGCATTGTACTCTCTTAATACTTTCAATGCTTTCATTAAAAAAAATTCCAAAAGATTATGTAAATAATCTTTTTTACGTTTGTTAATACTGCATAAAAACAGGTTATGCAATTTTATCTTTAGGATATCCCCTCATGAGTTAGATTATTTCTCTTTTTAGTTCCTCTCTAATATTTTGATATTTCTGTCATTTTAGGACATCGAGCATCCTTATCTACCTTACTTCTTTCGTTTGTAATTTATTTTTATTTTCTCAAATTATGGAATGAAGCAGAACCCTTTAGCCTCGCCCCCTTCATCCCAAGTACAAAACCAAACAGTTAATGGTTAGGAAAATATAGTCACAGACTCAGTGTCCGATGCACATTCCTGAGTTGTTTTACAGATGCTGTAACTGCCGTGGGGGTGGGGTGGGAACTGACTGCATGATGACCAGACTGTAGCCCTGACATGAACTGCTCCAATTTGAGCAATACTTAGTCTATGGCTAGCACCAGTTCTAATAACTGGTGCAAAAGAATGGGACTAGTATTACTGCTCATAATATATGCATCCTTAATGCCCATTTCTATCCCCCTCAGAGCTTCTAAGAACCTAATGAGATCACTAGTCAATGTAACTGAACTCCTGAGTTATGCTCTCCTGAATGCACACCAAGCCTTGTCTAACCTGAGGATCCTTTTTCTAGAAAAAAACAAGTTAAAATGAAGAATTAAAGAATAATTAGCTCTCTTTCTCCAAAGGCCTCCTAAGGAATCCTGCAGGCAGATCACACAAGAAAGACAACAATACCTGAAGAAGCAGTCAGCCAGTTTGCTCTGCTCACAAGGGAGGACAATGCAGAACCCAACCTCCTGCCTCAATGATTCACTGAGATTCTTCCTCCCATTTTTCCCTCTAAGAGCAGAATCATCAGAGTTGGTCCCTGGACACAAGTCTACCTTCTCCCCAGATTGCCAGCTTCCATGATTTACACTTTTCCTTTCTACACTCACTTGCCTCTTGAATGAGTAGCTTCTGAGCTCAAATAGGCAAACCTAGGTTTGGCAACAATTACATCATGATAAAACTTAATAAGGCTTTCTTATGCGAAATATTTCTCTTTAACAATTTATAAGTTAAACAAATGTGTATCACAATAGATTTTTGTTGCTGTTTAAATAGGGTATTTTTATGATTTCAGTACTATACAAATATAAGACCACACTCAGAAATAAGTTTAGGGAATACCCTTACAAAAGAATAAGAGTATTAAAAAAACAAAACAAAAAAGCCCATGCAGGACTGCTATGTAGTAATAAAGATCCCTCCATGCTTCTTCAGGTAATCAGCTTTGGGGAAGAGTTCATCATTGATCAATCTTTGGCTACTTTAAATGGATTCAACTAATTTAAATACTCAGTTTAAATCCAAATTATGAAAGCCCCATTAGAAGTACTGCTAGTTAATATTTTCACCAATAAGCATTTAAAGGAAAAATCAAATTGTAAACATTTTATTTATTTTTTTTATTTTTTTTTATTTTTGGCAGCCTGTTGCACTTTAATGTGTAATATTCGAGGTACAAGCAAGCTGCATTTAACAGTGTTATAAATAAAACAGATCAGTCATCAAGGGCTCCAGAGTGAACAGCATCTTCATAACCTCCATGCTTATCATCTTTGCTTTCTGGGTGTAATTTAATAAGATCATCAATTCGAAGAATGGTAATTGCAGCTTCAGTTGCAAATTTCAAGCTCTTAACTTTAACTATGGTTGGTTCAAACACCCCTGCTTGTTTGTTGTCACGGGGTTTACCATTGACCAAGACCAATCCATTTTAGATTTTTTGGTTCTGGGTTAACCTGAGCCTCATTATGAAAAGCTCTTAATTTTGCCACCAGATCTGTGGAGTCCTGGGCAGCATTAACTGCCAGAGTATTAGGAATCACAAGAAGAGATCTTGCAAACTCTGCGATAGCAAGCTGTTCTCGGGAGCCCATGCTGGTTGCGTAGTTCTCGAGGTAAATGGAAAGTGCCGCCTCTACAGCACCCGCACCTGGGACCACAGACTTTGACTCCAAAACTCTCTTCACCACACAAAGGGCATCGTGTAAGGAGCGTTCCATCTCGTCACACATGAAGTCATTTGCTCCACGTAAGATGACCGATGCAGAGGTACGAGCCTTAGTGCTATTTAAAACAATAGTGATAGTCTTCTATCAGTTCAACAGTAGTAAGTCCATGAAGAAATTCACTTCTACTTACACAGGACATTCAGACAGGGAAGCAATGTCTAGACCCTGGAGAAGAGATGAAACGGCAACTTCACCTCCGTTTACAGGGCCCAGCATTATTTTATCCCATGCGTATAACTGCTCATATCACTGAAGGACTACAGCAGCAAATAAATGGGAAGGTGGTCTGTTCCCACTCAACAGAATCTGTACAGCCTTACAATTTAGAAAGTAGCTTACTTTTTAATCAAGATCAGTTCATCATCACAAATTCTCTCCTGTACCACTTCTTCTGCTTGTCCCAACATTGAAGCTTCAAAAGTTTCTTCACCTTCCAAATTGGCCAGCGTTGACAGAATAATTGCTGTTAAAAGTAATTAGAAACATCTGTAAGCACTGTTCTCTCATGAATATTTTCAACCCTGCTTTAAACATTCAGAAACATGGAATTTACCATAGAAGTGACACACAATCTCAAGTTTAAGGCTTACAGTTAGACTCAAGGAACCGTCCTATCATAAGAGAACTATGTCACTTCGAGGTGAAGAACACTGAAGAACTTTCCCAGTTACAAATGCACAAAAAATATTTTACAACATGTATTTGTACACAAAACATTAAGGAAGTTTTCTGGATCTGCTTATTGTTAGCATCCAACGTAAAAGGAACATGACAGCTGGCAGGAGACATACCTCCGGAAGCTTTAGCAATGCGTTTAAGGTCCCTTTTTAAAACTCTTCGAACTGCCATAGCACCAGCCTCCACAAAATACTTCAGACACATGTCGTCAATTCCACCAGTGGTTAGGATAACGTTGGCACCAGTTGCCAGGATCTTCTGGATTCGCTCCTTGGTGATGTCGGACTCTCTACAAAAATGCAGTACTTGAGTAGTAACCCAAAGTTATCTTCTGTATTTTTACTATTACATATAGCTTGAACTTCCATTAAGTATTTTTCATAAAATAACCAAAGATTAAATAATACTAACGAGTTTCTCCCTTCTATGAGCAGAACTTAAATCAGTCCAATTTACAGGAAGTTCAAGGAATAAAATACCAGTTAGCTCTCCCCACCCCAACTTTAGTTTCTAACCAAGAATGGCGCCTAAGAAAGGAAGACTGACGGACCTGGTGGGAAGACAGACTGTCAACCAAACTCCAAGGCAAGTGTCACTACAGTGCAATGCAGAGAGACAAGCACATGAGAGCCACATGTCCAGGCTGGCAGGTGGGAAAGCTTGAAGGTCTGGAGTTAAGAGAGGGGCCCAGAGTTGGAACTCCAGGTATCAACAGAAAATGAAGAACTCTGTAGCAATGTCTGAGTCTGAATAAATTGGATTTACAGATTATATTTTAGTAAGAAGCATCAATGCATTGTAATTATAATTGGAGGACAGTTATTATTTTTCTACAACTGTAAATAAAATTTGAGACAATTATTACATCAGGTTTCCTATTTTTACAAACTCCTATGTGGTCCAAAATCTTACATGAAGATGGTGCTCAATAAATGCTTACTAAACAAATTAAGAATAATAATTATAGTTCTTTTTGATTAAATAAATGTGCACTTTAGGAGAATTTGTTTTTGAACAGTAGCACATTAAAGAGAAAATTTGTTTTGAATTTAGACAAGCCCTGGCAGAATCTTATGCTTGCCAACTGTCATCTCTGTGATCTTAGGCGAGTTGTATCACCTCTATGAACTCAGTGCTCTCATTTGTAAGACAGGACGCATTTTCTGCAGTGCTGTGAAATCACTAATGAACATGTTTATAAAGCACCTAATGCATGCCCAGGACATGGTAGACACTCATCAAATAGTAGCAATTTTATTTATTGCTTATTATTTTTACTTTTTAACTTTCTGAAAATATAGGATTTTATAATATTCAAGCTTGATCTATGACAGGCAGATTTTCCTAATAGGGAAGGTTAATTTTTGACCTCCTGTGCTATTCCTTTACTTCTTCTATACCCTTTGTACTTCTTCCTGCCAGTAATCAATACACAATGATAGGGTACTGTTGGCAGTGTGGCTAGTCTAACAGGCACGGATTTTCCCAGCCTAATACCAAATTTGTTCCAATGACTCCATGTTCATGTTTCATCTCCTCTCTCCTTTAAGTTGGGTCCAAATTCAAGAGATTTATGCATTTCAAAAGCATCATTGGGAAACTAGAACATTTGATTTTTTGATGCATTTTGTCCTTGCTGGCATCCATTGAAACATCGAGTTTCTTATATCATCTTTTGACACTCAAAACTAAAGAATTCCCTTTTTATCACTTTCTGTTGCTGAAACATAATTTTCTAAGAGTACTGGCCACGAAGGGCCTGGTTAGGATGGAAGTACGTATATGTAAAAAAAAAAAAAAAAAAGAATCCTGAAAAATAAAAGTTAATACTTGAGATATATTAAACTCCTATATACATTAAAAAAACAAGGANACTGGCCACGAAGGGCCTGGTTAGGATGGAAGTACGTATATGTAAAAAAAAAAAAAAAAAAAAATCCTGAAAAATAAAAGTTAATACTTGAGATATATTAAACTCCTATATACATTAAAAAAACAAGGAATATTCAAACAACAATGACTAATATGTTGTTATTAGCTGAAGGAGAATCTTAGAGTCAGAGAAGAGTCTCTTACTGGTACGGGAACTAAAATGAGACTTTGATAGATCAAAGTCAAGTCAGGAAAGAACTCAGCAGTTTGAAAGGCTCAGCTATGTCACTGTTGCCTGGTAACCAAGGGCAAGAATGAGGTCACACAATATCCTGACCAGGCAGCATCTGTTACAAGGTGAGGGACAGGTTTCATCCAGCTCTGAAGCAAAAATGAGTAAGAGGGAAAAAAAAAATTAAGAAAAGCTCTTCCTGGAAACAAAACATTACCTGAAAAATGTATAATTTTTACTTGCTGTATTGCTTACATATTATATGTAGGGTTAAAAACCCAAATTTAACCAAGGAAATTTGAAGATAAAATTGGCTTTATTAAATGACTAAGGAGTTAGACAGCATTCCATCTAGCAACTAAAAGGGTTCTTGAGGGTTTGTACAAAATGGAAGGGTTCATATGCAAGAGGGCAAGAAGGTATTAATAAAAAGAAAACAGGCAACTTTTGAGCCAGGGCAATTTCTTTTTAGGGGGAAAGGAATCACAGGATTTTATCATGAAGATTGTCTCTTCTTCCTCTAGGTGGATGAGGAGGGCTCACATGATAGATTATCTCACTGGTGTTGACCAGAAAATTCCAGTCTGGTTAATTAAAATTATATTTCTGGGAAAGACAGAAACCGCAATTAGATCAGGTATTAAAGCTAGGATCTGTACCATGGGCCTTAGCATAAGTGACATTATTTTGGGTCTGTAGCTTTATTTTAACAATAGCTTAGTGAAGACATATTAGGTGATGAGTAAATATTATGTAATTTAACCTATTTAAGGATATATATTATTCTTAAGTCATACTCTTGTGAGATTTTTAAATAAAATTATAATAAAGTATTTCTAGAATCTCAAAAGACACTCAGGCAAAAGTTAACACCAGGATTTAAACAAATTCTTTAATAAACCAACTACAAACAGAGAAGTTAAAATAGACTAATATTTATTTTTATCCAGTTCTGATCCCAAAAGCCACACTTTGCTACTGATGGTCCTGTTGTAGAATGAAGCATGGGTCATCAGGAAACTTAGGAATCTAGAGGGGGGAAAAAGTGAAGAACCAGGAAGAGGTAGAAGATGAGAACTTAGGATAGACATTGTAACAACAAATCCTATTTAAATATTGCCAATTAATCTGAATAAGAACTAGGTAACAGAGTTCTATCAGAAAAGTAAACACAGAAAAAGTGATCTGAATACTGATATACAATATTATAGGAGTTAGACCACAAGCCATTGTGAGCTGGTAGATCAGTCTATGCAGGTTACTGTCTGTTGTTTTGGCTATAAGTCAGCCAGACTAGCAGTTAGGAAATAAACTGGAAAAGCTAAGACCTGCAGGAACAAATCAGAATCCATCAGGAACATACAAGGACAAAGCAGAATTTATGGCATCTCTTACCATCTACAACCCCGATGGCATGATGGCTGCAGGAGAGCAAGGCTTTGTTTAACAAGTACTTGGCTCTGTGCTTGGCCTGTAACTCAAGGAAGCAGGAGATGTGGGAGTAGGATGGACTGCGGGTACCCTGTCACCCCACTCTATCAAAGTGAGCTAGGAGAACAGAAAGAAGATAAATGAGTTTCCACACTGATTGGGGACCTACATCAATCTTCAGAGCTTAAGATCTGCCTCCCAGATCTTGTATAAAATGTCTTGTGCCCAATGTCCACAGAGAAGGGAATTCTGGAAAATGTACTTCCAGCTTAGGTAAGCAGGCACAGGAAAAAGTAACCACAGATAATTAACAGTGAACAGTTACTTCAATTATGAATGAGTATAATTTATAACTTGTTCTGAATCATTTTGATTTATATTTTTAAACTATTAAAAAGTTAGTTTATTTTATAATGTGAAGAACACCAATGGTAGATTGTATGATAGCAAAGCATATGCCTAGGACACCAGCAATGTGGAGGGACCAAAATTAATTATTTTGAACCAATGTGAAATGATTTGATATTTCTAAAAATGTGACAGATATTTGGATNAAAAAAAAAAAAAAAAAATACAGGACAATCAGTTCAATTTAACTTTCATATAAATGATACTTTTTTAGTGTAAATACTGTAGGGGCTATATTTAATACTAAAAAATAAAGTATATCTGTTATCAGAAATTCAAATTGAACTGGGTGCCCTCTATTTTCATTTGATTTATCTGGCAACTCTACCCCAAGCATATGGTAGAAAACTAATATGCAAAAAGTTTACCTGAAATGTATGAATGATTTGTACAGGGGATTATCAGAACAGCTGTCAAAAGGCTGCAAAGAAGTCTTGGAGATCATGTGTAAGTGTTCATAATGGGAGAAAGTCTCCTGCCTCCTCCCCATCTCTGCTCCATCCCAGAGAGCATGTTGTCTTCCAGCCATTTTAGCCAGAGGGGCCTGCCTGAGTCACTAAAAGTGAATTAAATTGACTGCATAGCTCCCACATACCACAAGAGTGTTTATCACTGTTATCATCTTTCCCATTTCCTCTCAATGCTTCTTGGTAACAATCTCTGCTGCTACTGTCAAAAAGGAACAGAAAAGATTTTACTGTCATAAGTGCTTCTAACATTTATTATATTCCATGGCCATGTAACTAGCTTAAAAAGTAACCTTTCAAACCACCATGAGAGGAAGGCAGGGCTGTTGATACCCCCAAAGACAAAAATAGAATGTTAAAACTTCAACTAATCCCATTCTGATTCTTTCAACAGCTTCTTTCCTCTTTCAGAGTTTTGAAAGCTTACATTTAAAGAAGTGTCTGAGAGAGGACTGGACAAAGTAAGACAAAGCAAGTCTAGTCTACAAAATAGATGAATAAAAAATAAGAAACAAATATCAAACAAATAAGTTGCTTTTAAGCACTGTCCCCTCTCCATGCCCTGTAAATAATTAATCATAAAATATAAAAAATGAAAGCTATCTGAATTATTCCAAAGGTCTATTGTCATTTTTTTTAGCGATTTTTCCATTTATATTGTATCGACACCAATAATTTTAATAATAGAAAAATGAAACTGGGAGATTTTAGGATAAAATAAGTATAATATAGCTCTTAGGAGAACAGCTTTTATAATTAGATAGCTTGAAATCAAATATGGATTCTGCTTCTTTCTAGCTAGAGGAAGATCAGATAAGCTACTTAACCTTCTGAAGCTCTAGTCTGGTTTCCATTTGTAAACTGGTGTTATTAATGGTAACTTTTTTACAGGGGTCTGTGTAAATTATTAGGTGAGATAATGTTTATAAAGTTCTTGGAAGAGAATCCACTAAATAATTTGCTGTAAAATAAATATTTCTTATGATACAGCTCATTATCTTCTGATAATTTCATTTTATAAGTGTCACAAAGAAGCACATGAAGTTTTGTTTTGAATCTGGTTAAAGGCTTCTCTGGTGGCTCATAGGGTAAAGAATCCACCTACAATGTGGGAGACCTAGGTTCCATCCCTGGGTTGGGGAGATCCCCTTGGAGGAGGGCATGGCACCCCACTCCAATATTCTTGCCAAGAAAATCCAATGGTGGGCTACAGTCCATGGGGTCACAAAGAGCTGGACACGACTGAGCAGCTGAGCACAAGTGATGTTGAAGGAACACGGAACTTAAGGGTGGGGAATGCACAGAAGAAAAGACTGGTTCATTCATTCATTCATTCAACAAAATGATATTGAGTACCTACCAGGTAACAAGTACCATGGGAGACACAGGTTACAAAGCAGAATAAAAATTCCCTTTCCTCAGAGACCACACAATCTAATGAGGGAGGCAGCTGGTGTGCAAGACACTTCTAGTGTGTTGACTGCAGTGATGCAAACAGTCCTAGAGAGAAAGGCACTTACCAAGGTCAGGGGTGAACAGAGACGAGGCATCCTTGAGGACAAATGTTTCTGTTTGGTCATGAAAGATATATGTAAATTAATCAGATAACACCAGGAGGATAATTTAAAAATAGATTTTTATAATATAACCACAACTTGGAGATTCACTGTAGCATATTACAGGAGATACAAGAGCCACAGGGAGTTTTAATATGAAGTTTAAAACAGGAGTGTGTCAGGACACTAATCTACAGTGGAAGGTCTCATACAGCAGAGTTAGGTGTTTAGATTTTTACCATGAAAGTAGGAAGGGACTCTGGGAGGATTTTAATCAAGGTAGAGATATAATCAGAGTTTTCCTATTTAAAAGATCACCCTAGAAGCGTGAAAAGATTATACTGGAGGGAAATGTGTACAGAGGCAAGAAGATCACATCTGCTGTAGCAATCAAGGTGAGATTTTGATTAAGAAAATGGAAATTGCACTAGAAATAGAGAGGAAGGAAAGGAATCAAGAAACATTCAGGGGAAGAATTAGAAGTCTTAGTACTGAGGGAAAGGGATAATCCACAATGACTCCTAATGTCTGCTACAAGACAAGTGAGAGTGTGTTGGCTGGAAGAAGGGCAGGACATTAAGCTTCTTTAGTCACTAAGTAATTGACTACATCAGCCAGATAACCTATCTGAAGCAGCGTAACTGATATTAGAACAACATCATTTTAACATGTCCTTACATGTCAAGCTTTTAAGTTTTTCCAAAAGTATACATGTAGTGTATTCTGGTTTTAAAGTGAAAGTGAAGGTTGCTCAATCATGTCAGACTCTTTGTGATCCCATGGACTATACAGTCCATGGAATTCTCCAGGTCAGAATACTGGAGTGGGTAGCCTTTCCTTTCTCCAGGGGATCTTCCCAACCCAGGGATTGAACCTGAGTCTCCTGCATTGTAGGTGGATTCTTTACCAACTGAGGTATCAGGGAAACCCTCTGGTTTGAAAATTCTTGGCAAATACAGTGCTTATACTCAATCATCCCTTTTGTATTTCTAAGGAGAGTTTCAAGTGAAAACCTTCTTTCTTGTAATAAAAAGAAGAAAAAAGAAAGCATTCAGGGAAAGGAGACTCTTGTTAAGTTTTACCTTTTTTGGACAGCAATGCATATGCCATCAGTTAAGTTCAGTTGCTCAGTTATCTCTGACTCTTCATGATCCCATGAACCACAGCACTCCAGACCTCCCTGTCCATCATCAACTCCCACAGTTTGCTCAAATTCATGTCCATCAAGTTGGTGATGCCATCAGACCATCTCATCCTTTTCAAAAGTGTGAAAAGGCATATGCCATAAACCCACACATACATGGAGTTACTAAAAAAAAAGAAATACCCAGATATTTCTAAAGCATTTTACCCCAAAATGAAATGAAATCAAGAGTTCTAATAAAAATAGATTTAAGTATGGAAATAGGGTCAAAACATATAAGAGAAGAGAAATCTGTATATGAGGAAAGCAACAGTAAAAAGCATAAAATATAAATAAAATCTAATGGGTCTCCAAATGATTAGACTCAGGAGAGTCTTTATCTCCAGGAAGTCTAACACTTGCTATACCATACAAGTTTTATAATAACATCAATATTATTTATTAGAATAAGGATTTTTATGAGACACTGGTGGAATATATTAGAATGGCAGATTAATGTGAAGTCCCAATTTTCAGTAGCTTATAACTTTGGCAGTATATTTAATTTCAAATGGAACTTGGCATGAGTTTACTATGTCAGACTTTAGCCCTTGCCAAGTTTGACAAGCATCCAGTTCAGCTGTTTTGGGCTAATGTGAATGCCAAAGTAGAGACTTTTTTTTTCTGCATTCAACAACATTTTTCATTATGAAAAGCAAAAATGAGTAAATGAGTGTTTATTGTTAGGCTCCTTAATTAATGTAAAACAATTCTCACACAAAGCAGAAATGCAAAGTGATTCAGTGAGCAAAGTAATGGACTGAGGACTCCACAGAAGTAAATTTTAGTTTTGCTACTGACTCACTATGTAAAGTTGGATAAGTAACATTGCCTCTTTATGCCTCAGCTTATTCAACAGTAAGATTAGGAGATTAATACAAACATGCATAATCATAATGAAAATGACAGTAAAACCGTTTTCAAGTTTAAACATACAATAATTTCTTTTTCAATACCTTTTCACTATAGGGATTTTTAAGGAAATAAATAAATGTGGGCATGTAATGATGACCTATCTAAAGTTGTATAAAAAGCTAGTCTATTAATATATATGTATACTCTGGGAATTAATTAGGATCTCTGGGATGCTATTTGTTCTTTCAGGTAACTGAGTATCATTCAGTGAATTAATTATTTTGTTCACCATTTTGGAAATTACTGTTTCATTACATAAAACAATGCCCAAGTGGCTTGAAGAAGTCAATGCAGTCTACTCCAAAAAACAACTAATTTTCTATTAAAGATCATTTAGGCACTAGAACAAAATGACCAACTAGCTTGATAAATCAGTGAAAAGGATGAAGTTTTTTTCTGTGTGTAATGAGTAAAATCATTATTTTCTTGGTCACATTAAGGATTGATTAGTAGGCACTTTTAAATGTCACAGTCAACTGAATTACAGCTTGAACTGCCTCTTAAGTCAACCCAAAATACCAGCGTAATCCAATAACTTTAATTCCATAGACATAGCAAAAGATATCCAACATATCTTCCATTCAGTCATGCTTGGATTACATAGGGCCACACATTAAAGAAAAGAAACATTAATTACATAATTATTTACAAATATCTAGGTATTCACTTTTCTGTAAGAATAAACACAGAGAGTGACAGAAGAGGAGACCCCAGCCTCCATTCCCTGATAAAGATCAATAATTAAAAGTTACACAACTATCCACAAACAAAAACAGCCCTGGGAGAGCTCTGGAGTTCATATAAGAAACTTCAACAACTTGGTGGAACAAAAAACTTGGAATTTTTGGTGAGGATAACTGCACCAAAAAAGATGAAAAAGCAGTTTCATTTTGCCTGCATCATCAAATCCCCCAAGTTATCAGTGCTCAGTGCCAAGAGGAAATAATGCAGCTAGAAACATTTCTCCTCACAGAGTCAGGAAGAACAGGATGAGTGACCAGTTGTCCCAGCCTCTTGAGCACCATAGAAAGGCCCTGCTTTGGATTCACTCTGTTAAGAGATCAACATAGCTGTGATACATAGTGATGGTTGGAAACAAAGAAGAAAAGCAAAGACTACCAATATCAGTCATGGAGTATGAGCGACCACGGTTCCAGTGATCTTGTTTATGACTTTAGCATCTTTGTCTCTGAGAAATTGATGGTGAGCACAAATGCCATGAACTCCTGCAGATGTTGCCTGCTTTTGCTCCACAGGTATTTGTGTTTCCTGATGCCAAGTACCTGATTCTCTGCCTGCTCCCTCCCTCTCCTACCCCTGCCAGAGCCCAGGACCTACACTAGCAGCTGCCCCAGGTCTATGCAGCTACACAAGTGCAAGATGACAGTCTAGACCCCCACAGCTGATGCCCCACTGCCATGTAGGCACACAGAACTCAAACTTCTAGCTGTGCATGTACACAGAGCTGGACTTAAACCCATCACCAACCTCCACTTTCAAGCACTTATTGCAAAACCCAGCAGTGACAGCAGTTTATGTTCACAGACA